ACTTCCTGTCAGCACCTGTGTGTCCAATCGGACTCAAAGCTGATCGTTTGCTCTTACTGACATTGTTCCCTTTTTTTCTAGATCCTATCTTGTGTTGTACTTACTCTCTGATGTACGTCGCTTTGGATAAAAGCGTCTGCTAAGTGAATTGTAGAATTGTAGAACGTATGTTGATGATCTGACCCCTCTCACTTTGTTTAGCTATACTACTGCTGAAGTCAGAACATGAGTTACCTTTACTGGCCAGACAATATAGGCTATCCTAGGAATTTGATTCACATAACATGTGCTCTCTAAAATCATTAAATATTAATCAATACACTTGTATTGTACATCAGAGTAGGTAAATTATGTGGTTATGTAAACGTTTATTGTCATGATTTGGTATTATTTAGTTTTGTATTTTCAGTGTTCTAGTGGGTTTTGTTCATTCTCGAGTTCTGTGTGTCTTCAGTGTTTCATGTATTTTATTTTGTAGTTGTCCTCAGTGTTTCTTGTGTCCATTCCTTCCTCTGTGTGTTTCCCTCCATTGTGATTGCCCTCATTGTCTACACCTGTGTTGTTAGTCTCACCTGTGTTTGATTACCCCATGTCTATTTAGTCTCTGTGTTTCTTCCCTTCTGTGTCAGTACAGTGTATGTGTTTGTCGGTGCCATTTGTTGCATGTCAGCTTACCCGTGGCGCCTTCTGTTGTTGGATTTTTTTTGGAAGTAAGCTTTTGTTTGCCTTTTGGTTAAAGAATAAATAGTTTTACTGAATCCTGCATCTGGGTCCTCCTCTTTGTTTTCGCCATCCGTGACATTTATTAAGAAAGTACCGTATATGGATTTATGTCAGATGAAGAGGATAATAATATTCACATGATTAACTGTGCATATTAAAGATCATTCTCATCTTATTTGCATTCACAGATGGTGGAGTGCCTTTCCATGAGTCAAACTTGTGTATTTTGATTTCAGTGCAGAACAATATAAGCAACATTGTAATGGCTTTTGTACTATTTAAATTATAAAGCGGTTAATGTATAATTATTCTTGCACCAAAAGAAAAAAAAGCTTATGGTTGCAGACTCCCTTCATCCCCCTATCTCTGCGCACTTTACACAAAATCTTTCTACTGGAATAGTACCTGCTTTTAGACTGTCTGGCAATTTGATCAAAACAAACGTATTAAGGAATATGCACAACATGAACGTGATACCTTCTGAAATAATTAAGCTCAAATTCAAATAAAGGCTACTTCTTAATACACAGCGAATGTTACAAAAAGCATTGGCAATCATAGTGAGGGAAAACTTTGCATCAGCCTTTACTGGCAATACTGGTCCGTCTCACTTCAGTCCTCAGGCCTATCTCTATATGCCTATTTGGTTTACAACATAACCTTGATTGTGAACATATCCTCTCACCTTTTTTTGTCAGTCATCCTCATTATCCTGACTTTTGTGATGTCTTCTGTTTTATCATGAAATGGATTTTTTTTTATTTTCTGAGGAATGAATGCATCCAAACTCTCTTCCTTAAACACTCAGGACAAATTGAAAATCATAGGTTTGATAACACAACAATTACATTTATTGGTATTCTGATACATGATTTAGTGTACAGCACATTTTGGATTTCCATAGAAATAGACTCTATAGAAAATAACTTGTGTCTCCTGGGATTTTTTTTTGCTATATATAATATATAACATTCTTAAACTACTGCAGTTGAATAGGAACATAACATTGACACTTTTTCAACATGATACTGCATAAATAATAACAAAAAAAAATGTAAGTGACTTAAATCGACTTATTTTTTAACTGTAAACAGAGTTAAACAATTTTAACTAAAATTCTGTAGGTCCCTAAAGCCTGCCTTGCATAATTATTTGAACACATTCCATAAATGATATTTTGTATGGAGAAAAAAGATTGTCTATTTAAGTCATGTTTACAAAGTGAGATTACACATTGAGTTTTAAGTTGTGGGTCTTATCCATATCAGTGGAGTTTTCTCTCCACTCAGGGTCAAGCTCAAAGGCCATATGGATATAGCATCATAACTCCCTCTTGTTTTCAAGCTAACCCCTTTCCCCCTAGGCTGGACAGAAGTGCTTGGACATGAGGATGCAGATGTTTTTTCCACACTGCCAGCACTGCTGTGTCATGTGTGGAGAGCCCTGCTGGGTCTTCCTCTTACACAGTGGGCACAAATCTGCACCCTTGCCTCCTTTTGCGGGGCCTTTGGATGCATTTGCCAGAAGCTGCTTCAGATCGCGCTCTGTGTTGCTGTCAGGGGCTTTTGCAATTCCTACCACCACGACTCTTTTGGGGTCGAACACGCAATCCTCCTCTAAGCCGCTGCGCACAGCAGTGAGACCACAGTTGGGGGGCACCCAGGCGGTGTCATAGCCATGACTGTTCCAGGTGAACTGCATGGGATGGTTGTCCTGGTCGATACGTTTGACACGGCCAACACGCACACGCAGCTTAAAGACAATCCTGTCTGAAATCGCGCTGTTCAATGGATAATGAGATGCCTTTTTTATATCACGACTGACATACACTCCCCTTCCCAGCATGCCCTTCGTTGACTGTTGAAACCCATTGGAAATGATGTGACGTGCGCTGGCAATACTGGTGCCATGGTACATAGTGTAGACTCCACGGTTTTGGGGTTTCTGGGAATGTTCCAACTCCACACCGGAAAAAGAGGCACCATCATCCACCACCTCCCAGCCAGAGAACTGCACAGACATCCTGATGAAGCAATGTGGCTCAAAGGCGATGTTTATCTAGTCTGACTGAAGCTCTGTGAGAAATGAAATTAGAAAACGTGGCATCCTGTTAGAACTCTTTTAGGAGCAGAGAGGGTGTGAACTTCATTTAACAAAAAAACAAAAACATTTCGGTGAGAGCAGCCCGGTGTTTCTCAAACTATTTCTTTAGGCTAAATGTTAAAAAGAACATTGTCACCCACCCCCATTAACTTACTTATTTTAGCTGTATTAATAAATGTTTCTACTTAAATCTCTGTGACCCGTATTAGTTTCAGTGCGCTAGTTTTCTCTTAAAAATTCAACAGCTTTTTTTTTTTTATGTGTAGGCCTCGAAGTTTGTGAACCAAAATCCTGGCCATCGAAAGAAGGTCACCGCGGTTATAGACCACAGACCTGTATTGTTCACTAAAATTGATCATGTGTCAGGTAAACACTCTCATCCTATCATTTAAAAAAAAGTTATTTGAGGTGCAAAGCGACGAACTCACCGTCTATGAACAGCCGTTTTCCCTGTCAGCTTTGATGTTTCACTTTCATTTCTGTAAGTTTCATTCACAATTCTGATGACGTCACTGCTAAGTGTGCGCATAGTCGGGAAGCATGGCCGGTTAGCTCAGTTGGTTAGAGCGTGGTGCTAATAACGCCAAGGTCGCGGGTTCGATCCCCGTACGGGCCAGAAATGTTTTCTCTAAAATGTTAAAGGTCATATCAGTTCAGCAATAAGAGATCTTAATGAAAAAATGTGCTCTACCACTAATATAACCTACACATCTGAAAACTTTTAAAACCTAAAGTTCAGCTCTTCAGTTCCTCACACTCCTTCTGTTTGCTGAGAGAGGCTATCTGCAATAATTGTTTGTTTTTTTTGCACTGAGATTCAGGGCGGTTCTAGGCAGGGGCCAACAGGGGCCAGTGCCCATGTAACACTGAGCTTGGTCCCCCCCCTGTGGCCACCCCTCCAAAAGAAAGTGCCCCCCTAATAACACATAAACAGTATCTGACTCAACAACCGAACGCACAATCTACTGTGATATTAAATAATGTACTGAAACAAATATAAATCATGGTATTTTATGTTGTGGTATTTAATGATGTGCGCTATTATTTGGCATAATATACAAACATTATTTTGGTCAATTATTTCGCCCCTTTAATAATACTAATCATGCTGTATTTTATATTCTGATTAGTCACCTTTACAACCAGGTGTAACTTGTAAGGATCGTGCATTTGTGGAATGAGCAACACAGCTAAACGTGTGAGTAGCGCCCCAAGAAAATGTGCCAAAATCCCCTGCAGTGTTCTTCTGTTGGTATTCGAAATATTGGGGCGAAATAAGTGGTCGAAATAACGTTTCCAAACTTATTTTGAGGAGTTTATATATATTTTTTAAAGCGATCATCTTTGTCTATTTTTCACCTGGGTTTAATGTTCTCCTCTGACAAAACAACTGGCCCCAGTTTGGCCCCCTCAGTAAAAGTGGTCTAGAACCGCCACTGCAGTGAGATTGAGCTTTATGAAAAGCAAACATCAAGATAGAGGAACATTTTCAATGATCATTGATGTTTCTGGCCTCCAGGAAAAAGCCAGTCTGCTATATAGATTATTCCCTTTATTTCAGCCCTGTTTTTGATCTCTGTAAACTTCTGAGGAAAACATTTTGGTAAATTTGCAAGTTCTGTTTATCAGTGTTGTGAGCTTATTTGGTTAAAATTGCTGCGAGCACCTCCATGTTTCGTCTGGCTCTCGTTGAAGATAAGGAGAGGAACGGGTTTGGGTGATAATCTTTTAAGTCGGTCACGTCGAGCCTCGCCCTCCACGTGGCAAAAAGGTGATTTTATGCTTTGTCACGTTAAAAAAACGTCATTTTATTCACTTCAAGAGACAATATTACAATCTAGGTACTGTGTTTATAAAACGGCAAGCATCACGACAGTCAAGTGAGTTATGAATGACCGGCAACATTTGTGTTTATTTAGTGTAGTAGTTGCGCAATGACCTGAGGTTTGCACGTAAGCCGAAATAGCTCAGTTGGGAGAGCGTTAGACTGAAGATCTAAAGGTCCCTGGTTCGATCCCGGGTTTCGGCAGTGGTTTTGTCCCGCTAAAGATCCGCGCTTTAATAGAGGTTACTCATAAAAGAGCTCATGGAAGTGTAAATCTACTCTACCTATAGTCATCATACGTCGTCCCATGCGAGGATACCGCACATAAAGCACTTAACACAGCAAGCAGTCCATGAAACTGGTTTAGTGAAACATGCAATTCCAGGTGATCAGCTGTTACGTTGTAGAGAAGAATTTGTAACATTTTCACATAATGCTGCATTTCAATCACGTTACAGAACTGTCCCGTTTATAACATTTTTATGTATCTAAAACATTAGCATTATTGTTGTGTAAACTAATTAGTGTTCTCTCATCAAATTTCAATTCATGACAAATTGTTTATATCTTAGTAAGTAAAAAAGAGAGAGCAAAACTGTAGGCAACTCATCTTACCTTTATAGATCTCTAAAGATGAACTAAAATTTTTATTGACTGTGTCAAACAAAAACTATTTAAACGAAATCAGACTTCAGTCATCAATTTCCCTCTCACTTCACAAAATGTCATTCAAATTTGCTTGATCATCTATCTGATTTCTGTATGATCTAATTTAACCGTATCTGCAACTCCTAGAATAAAACATGTAGTGCTCTTCTGAAAGTCGAGCCTTGTGTTAACAAATAGTTGAATCCATTTGTGTAGGACAGGTTTGATGATAACAAGGTGCTCCTCGTCAGTCGCTCCTCATTAGTTGACTGTCAAAGGTCGTCAAGCTCTGCCTGCACTTTGCTGTGCTTGTGCCTTAAAGCCTTCTGAAGCTTCTCCTCGTTAAGGCGGGACTTGATGTCACCTATCTGCATCAGGGACTCGATGGCATCATGCATGGACAGGAAGCCTGGGGAAAAGAGAGGTAGAGTGTGCAAAGGATCAGCAGACAGAATCATGATGATAGCTGCTGATTGATTGGTTGATTTATGTGATATATTGGTACTGAGTTTAGCTTTTGTTCACTTTTATAACTATTTATGATGTTAGCTTGAAAGCACTTTAGTGTATGTAAACAAAGTGCAGGGAAGCTGTGTCTCAGTGGTAGAGTCAGTCGTCTCTCATCGGGGGTTCGATTCCCAACTCCTGAAACCACATGTATGATGTATGGACCCTTTACATAGCAGCCTCTGCCATCAGTGTGAGAATAGTGTGCATGGGTAGGTGTAAAAGTACTTGGTGGTACTACACAATCATCGTCAACCTTTATTTAAGTCATTGAGGGCGACCCTCATTTACAATGATGCCGAGAAAACATACATAAATGGTAAACGACGAGAAATGAGATGAAGCTACTACAGAAAATAAAATCAATACAAGAGAAATAAGAACAAAATATACACTAAAATAATTTAAAGGCTTGAAATGACTACAGTGATAAGTCAGTAATTAAAATCAAATAAAACTGCCCAATACAGTCAGGTATTGGGAGGTTAAAAATAATATTTCTAAAGTGTCCATAAGGGATAAAAGTGCTCAAATTCAGGTCCTGTTGTAAAATATTCACTAACACTAAAAGCAGTTTTCCCCAGGTCAGTCCTGGCATGAGGAACCTGGAGAACCAGCCTCTTTCTCGAGCAGGTTAAAAATGGACCATGGTTCAGATGTAGCAAGGAGGTGATATATGATGGTAGCTTTCCAGTAAGGGCTTTATAGATAAAACGATGCCAGTGGTTATTGCAAGCTCAAGTCCATCCATCCAAACCACTTTGTAAACACACGATTTTAAAATTAAAATAAATAAATTGATAAATTATTAAACAAATAAATTAAGCTACTATAATTTAGGATGCTCTTTTGGGTTTATTTAAATAAATAAGTATGTGTTTCTCTCTCTCTTAAAACCCTTGCAGTCTCTGTTCTTGTATCTGCTTAAAGCTCTCCCTGCTCCTAATCATCAGTTATCATGACTTCCTCGGGTACTTCTGAACAGCAGCCTAAAATAGAAAGATTTTTCAGTATTGCATTGACTAAGAAGTCATATTCTGTGGCTGTGAACTGTGGTGTAAAGATGAACTTTTCTCTGATGGGATATTAAATCTCTCCCTCTCTGTCAGTCGGATGACCTGCCTCTTGAAAAGCATATTTACGACACTCATCAATTATGTAATGCTGTCTCCCCTTTATCACCCTCTCGTTCTATCTTTTCATCCCATTCTTAAAATAGAGCGATGGCTCTCTCTCACTGAGATCGGCAGCTGAGTGGTGATTCATAGTCGTTCACTGCTGACTTTATTTACTAAAGGAGGCCTTGGCCCGTCTCTTTTTATCTATGATTTAACAAAAGCTGGAAATTGAGAGAAGTTGACCGAACAATTGAGGGCTCCTGAATTTCCCAGGAACCCAGGGCTCCTGGGAAAAGAATGTCCAGTTGGCACGGCAGTGATATGGGGATGGATGTCAACAGCAGCTTGGTGCAAAGGCAGAGCTGAGCTGCAGCACTAGTCTTTCTGTGGTTTATTCTGTGTGGCAGGTCCATAAAGAAGCTTTAAATCACACACCCATATAATTGAACATGGCTATAAATCTTTTTTTTTTTGTATTAAGGCGCTTGTGTTAGTTAGCATGTGACTGGCAGATTCATGACTGTGAACCTGGCCCGTGTAGCCAAAGGCCTGGTTCTGACCAGGTTCCACAAGGATCATGGTTCTCTTTATTATCCCTGTTAGAAGGCAATTTGTTTGATTCCATTACTCATGTGTTCAGTTTTGTTTGTTTATGCAGTTTTCAAACTCTTCTCTCATTTCAGACTGCTCCACTCCCACATGCCTGCCTCTCTCTGCCCATAGATTCTCCCCCTCTCATTCCCCTCACACACCTGTTTCCTTATTGCTTGATTAGCTCTCATATTGCTTCACTTTCACTAACCCTCTGCCCGATTGCCTCAGTGCATAGCCTTAGCTTTCTAGAGTTTCTTTTGACCTAGAGAACCCATTGCCATTTTCATTGCCCAAAAGAATGGAGAAAAAAATGCTCTCTAGAAAATGTAATGATTCTAAGAATCTTCTTCGAATTTTTCACTAGGAGCAACTCTTAGTATTTAGGAGGCTTTGTGAATACTATGGGTACTTCTCATGTCTCTACACTCTGGGTGTGTGAGGTCACTAAGGGTAAACAGAGTCAGACATTTTCAAGTGTTTCCAACATAAAATTCTGAAGCGTTCAAAAAAAGTGCACATTCTTTTTTACACCTTATCCACATTGTTATTCGCGTAAGTATTAAACAGAAAAACCCATGACTGGTGAGTTGAAAAGAATCTGAATTTGGCAAATCACCTCCCTTTTTTTATGTGTGCTCTGCAGCCCTTTCTAATATCATAATTTCAGTCTTCTCATGTTTAATTAAAGATGTCATCATCACGTCATTGACCACTGTCATGTAAAAGGATATTAAGCATCTCACTTGTGAGCAAAAAATAATTATCATATTAATCAAGCAGTCGGGTCACTTCAGTGGATGACTTATATTTCCGTCTATCTTTTTCTGGCTCTTATGTGAACATTTTCAGCATGTGCATTTTTCCTTGACGTATATGGTCAATGTTAGCGAACACATGTTTTTTGTTTTCTCTCTGATGACAGCCAGTCACAATGATCCCCCACCTTTGTGATATTCCTGTTTGAGCAGCTGCAGCTCCTGATGAAGGCCGCTCTCCACTGAGGTCATTCTTTTACTGAGGACGGTTTCACAGCGTTTCATCTGCTCTGCCTGGCTTTGGTGGATCTGGTCCTTCTGGGTCTCACACAGATCTACACGGGCCTCAAGAGCACGCAGCCGGTCACAGAATCTAGATGCTGATTCTCTCTTCACACATAAAACACACAGAAAGATCATACATCACTTATTTATCCTTTACACTGTGTTACCTACCTTGAATCAGCATTTAAACCCTGATTTAAATCAGCCCTTTAACATGTAACCATTCAACTTTTAATATATAACTGTAACAGAGAAGTCTTACAGCATCTGCAAAGCATTTCTGAGTCTTTCTGTGGCTTGAAACAGAAAAGGGGGCTGTAAAGAAAGAAAAAAGAGCCAAAAAGATTTGAGCAATGATAAAGGATAAAAGGATAAAAAAATCAATATTTGTACAAATGCATTTTGAAATTCCCATTAAATGAAAGAGAGAAGTACAGTACAAACGAAGGAGAAAAAAGCAACTTCTTCAAAAGCAAGTTATACAGTATATGCTACCATGTGTATTTACTACGACTGTACATTTATATTCATCAAGTATTAGTTTGATTTATTGTTTGTAATTGTTCACACATTTTATAGTCTTTATTATGGTTGCTTTTTTATTAGTATTGCTAATAGTTCCTAATTGTATTCCCTTTCATATACTAATGTTCTGTAATGCCAATAAAATAACCTTCAATCCTTGAAATAGGAAATTGTATCACAGGTCTTATATACAGTTGTTTGATAATTATGTATTGATAGTTGTCCCTTATGTCTCAGACAGCTGAATTATAACTCACCCATACAAACCCCTCCCTGTAACCTACTGCAGCTTTCTCAACATCCGTTCCTCACCCCTGACTTGATTCTAATTTCTTCCTGCTGAGTCACAGCTCAGTGTGACTCAAACCTGCACAGTTCAACACAGTGCACAAACAAGCAATCTCTCACACAATCTGACAAGAAGGTGACATAAACATAAAAACCCTATTGTGAACGAAAAGTTCTTTTATAGACTGTGGTTCTTGTAGTACCATTTTGTCCTGCTGTTGAGTGCAGTGCTGGGCAGATGTGTCGAGCTGCCGTTCTGTCCACTTCCTTAGTGAATCTGTTTGCTCCTTTGCCTCCTTTAAGCCGTTGGAGATCCTGCAAAGCCATTGGGGAAAAAGAGTAATTTTGAAAAATGTAGCAACAGATGAAACAGAAATAGAAATTTGGGGATGGTTCTACTTAAAAAGAAAGTGTACTTTTCCCTTGCAAATACTTTGTCATCTCCTACCCTCTCTACTTATATATCTGTATTAGTATTATTATTATTATGTGAATTATAAATCTATATTTATATTTTCACCAAACCCCTGCTCAAGATGACATTGTGTCCTTGTTAACTATGGGCAGCTTCGTCAGCAGTATGGCTAATTTTTTGTGGTCAACGTGATACCAGCCTCAGCAAGAAGGAAGCTGTTGCTGTTGGAGGGTGTTACTTTATGTGAGACTCACATTCAGACAACCACATAGCAGAAAGCACATGTCACCTACAAATGTAAACCTATACTTCGGTAAGCATATATTTGTAAGAGTGTGTGTCTTTTCGAATTTGTTCAGAATGATTAAGATCTTTTTAAATTGTACAGAAAACTTTGACTGAAAAAAAAGAAAAAAAAAGCATTCACTTAGGATACAAAGAAAAACACATGTTAGAATCATGCTGCATATATCTATACAGTGAAAATCACTTGATTCTGACCTCATGAGTTTGCCATAGCTGTTAGTGTCTCACATTACTCACAAAGCCCACTGGGTAAACAATATAAAAATGTCTGTGATAAAAAGTGCAAACCAGGCCATGCTTAGATGAATATTGTGTGGGCTGTATCGTCGTATACAGCCCACACTGTATCAGGCTGTAGTACAGCGTGGGTGCTGTCTTGTGCTGTTCTATGAATTTCTCTCCAGGATGAGATTTTCCGCTGTATATAAAAACATACTGGCACGTCAATTCAATTTACCTTCTTTCCCTTCATTCTTTAAATCTAAGAAATTATCCTTAAAGGAGAAAATCAATGAGGCACATGGCCGGACTGTATGTGTGTGACATCTCATCCATCTGACTAATGGTAACAGTTGTCAGGCTGTGTGTATACGAGACAACAGGACAGCTGGTTTGGGAGTGTTGGAGGAGTTTTCAGAGTCTGCCTGCCTGCCTCCATGAAGGTCAAACATCTTCCTATTGTCAGAGTGTCGATTGTGTTTCTCTTCTTTTTCTTCTTGAGTCTGAAACTTGATCTCCAGAAGGATTTGGTTCTTTTGTTAGGAGTCAAATTGTTGCCAAGGCAGGAGTTCTAGTCAATTACTGAGACAAACTGGCAACTGATAGATTTTAGAAAAAAACATTTTAAAGGTGCGATCTTGACTTTTAAACTACCAATGACTTTGCACCTTTTTTTTGTCTGATCTGACAGGATAGGAAAACATTTACAAATACAATAGGTTTTAAATATGGGGACTTAAACTAGACTTCAGATATTGGAATTCATTTGATCAAAACATCTTAAGGTTTTTGGGCCTTAATACTGCTCTGAAGTAGGAAGGTTGCCACTGCGTATCTTATAGCATGACAAAATTGGTCAGAACTGAAAAGGATTTGACCACAGATGATAAATAGGAATGATGAGGACGCAACATCTCATGAGCTTCCCCTGAAAGGATAGTTGTATTTATGGTCGTTTCTGGAATGGTGGATGAAAGAAATAATCTTGGAGAGTGTTTTTTCCTCCACTTTTTTACCTGTTTCAGAAACACAGCTTTACTTTCCATCAATTTTTATACATTGTTCTTGTTTCTGTGTTACTTTGCCCCGTGGTAAAACTACATGATTCATTTTGTGTATGCTGCTGATGAGTTTGTAAATCAACTCAACTAACAGCTTTACTGTGCCTCTGGCATCAATATTTTGAGACGGCTGTGGTTCAGAAATGCACTGCTTGGAACTGCAGAGAGTTAGGAGCGGTGAAATAACTTGATAAGCCAATTAGTTGCACATAGATTTCTCTTTATTATGTGGGTCTGGGCAGAGAGACGGAGGGAACTTAAAAAGTCAATCGCTTGAGGAGCCATGCAGAAAGCAAAGTCAGACTAAGTGATGGTATATAAACGTCTCAGACACAAGCAGCATACGTCATATAGAATGCAGCCCACACATTCCCAATCACTAATGTACCTGACCTGGGCTGCACATGGACTGTGAGCACACTCACACTTTTTAATGGACAATCTCCTAACATTATTTAACATTATTTATGTATTTATGTCACTCCTGAAATGTGACTTTGAATGCAGCTTATGCTGTTTTTATGTTTGTCTTTTGAGTGTGATTTGATTGTGATGAGAGGATCTCTGAGCTTGTAATGCAAGACAAATTTCTGTGCAAACGGACAATAAAGTGTTATCTTATCTTATCTTACCTTAGAATGATCTAGAAGAAACTACAGTTTAGATGCAATGACATGTTACGTCCACTTACAGGGCAAACTTAACTTTAAGCCAATTATTCTAGAAAAACAGTTTCATACAAATATTATATTAAAGCTAATAGTATTTGAATGTTTCCCTGAAAACATAGCTCTCATAATTATAATTCATTATTTAATCATTTATAATATTTGGATAGATTTGGAGGATGTGCTGTTGCAGTGTGCATGCGTTCTGTTTTCTCTTCATTTAATAAACGTACCTGTCTTCTAGTTGTTTGAGTTTTGCCTGCAGATCAGACATGTCGCTCTTTTGACCATGATAATGCTCTGACACTGAGGCCTCCAGTCTCCCCAGGTCATGATAGAACTGGAGGAAAAAAAAAAAATCCAACATACACATGCTGTAATTTGACGCCGGATGATCATGTGTTGCTGCCTCCATGAGATGATCTTTAACCTTTGAGGTTTCTGCTGAGACAAGCAGACTGAGCCTCTGCACCAGTCAGGGGACTCGGAGTATCAGCAGTGACCCACTTTCTCTACCATTTCAATTATCTTTATGGTACCTGCTTGACCAGTGCTCCACATCCAATGTGCTGCCATCACCATGATTTACCCCTTCCTGGCGTGTTACCAGCAGAACAGAGCGTACGCTGAATCAAGGAGAGTGTTTGTCGACGGCGGTTTGGGTCAGCTTAAGATGGAGTAAAGTGACGGAGAGCATTATGTGACGTGTGTGTCCTAATCCAGGGTTTTAGTGTTTTTATCTATTTTTGCTGTATAAAAGGAATGGGGCTGAAAGGGCAGTAAATATTGGGCGGTTTTTACTTGATGTTCCTGTTTGAAACCATTTCACATCTCATTTCCTTCTTTCAGAATCTGTGGTTGTTGTTGCACCGCTGAGTTTCCTGTATAAGGCCCTTCTCACTCTGCAGAAGTAAACTCTCAATCACATGAAAGAAACAGGCAGCCATACTGACAAGTCTAGTCAGTCAATTATATCACTGGATTCTATTGTCAGATTATTATTTCCTTTATGCAAATAGCAATTCAAAACAGAGTCATCCCTCTTTCCTTTATATCTAACAATTCCCAAAATAGAGCCCATTACCTATGATTTAAGACTGCAGCGGCTCTAGACTGTTTGTGTATTTTTTTTTGGGGGGGGGGGAATTAAAGGCAGGCTTGTTGTACATTTAGCTTGTTTGTGAAATATAGTATACTTTCATGTATTTAACAACAAGATTAAAAGTTAACAGCCATGCTTGTAGGGCTTTAAATCAGTATAGGCAAAGCTGGCCTTAAATGTTAAAACCAGAATGCTGTGTTTTTGTAGTAAGTATCCTCTTGTTTAAAATACAAAAGCAGTAGGTAACTTGTTAATTGTTTTCTGAATTGTTTTAGTTTGGTTGTATCCTTAGAGCTAGATTTGCATGTTAAACATTCTTGATTTTAGTTTATCTGTTAGATTTGAATGAATCTAGAATCTTTTGTTACTCTTCTCATTTGTTGTCAGACAAACCAGTGAAAACTATTACAACCATAGACTATAAAACATGGACGTTGTCTCACTGTTGTCACCCATTGGTCTCTGAAGCGGACTATTGAAGCCTATTGATGGCTTTCACTATATTGGAAATGCTGTCTCAAACTTACTTTCAGTAAACCAAGCTTCAAACTGGGATGTGGAGCTGAAGCAGGCCTTTAACCGTTTTTAGAACCAGGCTGTAAACACGTTTATTTCTGCAATGAAAATAGTAATTTTAACATGATGGGGATTCCATGGCTTTTGAAACCAGCCTCAAGTGAACACATGAGGGATTGCATTTTTTTGCACTTCTCCATTTACTTGAGTCTTTAACACTCAAGGGTTGCCACTTGGCTAAAACATTGAAACATTCTTGCCTTCTTGCTCGGTCCAAACTGACAACCCACTAAACTGATACCAATCCGAAGAACTATGGTCTATTCAAAGTCAAAACAGTATTTATTAACCTGAATATTCGTCCATCTTCATCTTCAATTGTCTTTTTGGCACTGGTGTCAAGCTGCTTTGTCGATATTTTGGACTTGAATAAACTGCTGCTTTACATTTCATCTGCCGCATGTTCTTTTCTTTTCCAGGCACTTAATCAACGCCTCTTACCTTGGCCTTCAGCTCTTTGAGTCGTCCGTCCACAGCTGACTTGACCCCTGCCACCTCATGCTGTAGTCTATTCAGCTGCCACTCCCCGGAGTTCCCGTCAGCGCTCAGCTTGGCGATGCTGGCATCACACCTGAGATAATAGGTGAGGAAGCAGAGGGGGAACCAATGAATGAGAAGCGTGGGATGAGACGGAGTTAAGAAAGGTGTGAAGACGGTGAGATAGGGGAAAGTCTGTGGAAACAGTGGAAGTGCACTAAAAATCATGCACATTTCACATAGTCAACAGACAGGCAGATCGAAAAGAAAGAAGCTACCATCATCAATGGAAGCCAAAAGAAGGTATTTTTAATGCTAAGTTTTGTATCCCATAATACTGAAAATCCAGTGGACACGTGTTTATATCTGTTGATAAATTACTTAAAGACAAGTAGGTCAAATGTGGCATCCTATTAAATAAGTAGTTTACCACCAAGGTTACTCAGCAGATTCTGGAGAAATACTTCACAGCGTTTCACATTCAACATCTTGTTTCCCTGTCCTTTCAGTTCAGTTTATGTAATAGACATAGATCTTGATCTTTATCAGCATTGCAAGACAGCTCTCTTCCTTCCTTAACTGGATTTAAGACACACTCACTACTAAGCCTTTCCATCTCCATCAGGTTCACTGTGCCTGTATGTCAATATAATGATTGTGAAAAAAAGTGTATGAGCTTACAATAAATTTCAGCTGCTAATTGTTAAGATGTCCAGCGTGAAATCTGGGTTATTTCCCCGTAGACCACTTCATCCTGTCCATAAAGAGCTTCACAAACCATGCACAGCTCATCAAAAACCACTGGCACTTAACTATTTATGAGCGACATTTGAGAGGTCATTAGACAGAGTAGGTTCATTAATTCTACGGCCTCTATTAGACTTTAAATCTGTTTGTTTAGTATTAGACTATACCTCCTGCAAGTGGAGATATTAAAGGACTTCAGCAACACAGAAAAAAACCCCAATTCTTATTCAGGCCCTTTGAGGCAGAGCAACAGAAAAAATGTCATCCTCTCTTCAGCAATCCAATCTGTTGTAATACGCACAACCTGCAAAGACACAAAATAATAAGCAAGTGTTGATAAGAATCCGGAGTTTGTTCAAACCTTGAACCTTTACACTGGTGAGGAGGAAATAATGTGTGCATGTGTGACGGTCGAAGGTTTCCCACAATGGATAGGAAGTTGTGAGGCTGGAAAAAGGTGCTAGACTGGACGTAGGATGTACAGTTACAGTTCATCAGAGGAGATAAACAAGCATGATATCAGCAAATAAAATAAATAGACAGACAGAGGCTGCAATCCTTTGCCCTATTGACCTTCACATGGGACGGCAGTTCAGTACTGATGTGTGAAATATCCCATGTGTGTTTTTGTTTCCCCCCTTCATTGAAACCCTTTGACTTCAATTTGAAGAAATAAACCTTGTCAACCATAACTGAAGTTTCCTGGCTGGATTCATGCATCCTGACCCGATGCCCATGGTGATAGTGGCTCAATACATTTGAACCTTTCCTAACAGTATTTTTTAACACACTCTTTATTGGCTAAAAATGTATCGAGTACCTGGCTACTCTTCCTCTCAGGTCCCCAATGCCTGCTGTGTTCTTCTGATCCAGTTCTTGAATAGCCTTTGTTGTTCCAGAGGTGATCAAGTCCCACTCTGTGATCCGTCCCTCCAGGGCCTGTTCAGAACAATGAGAAAAATGTTTTGCAACTTTATGTTAGGGCAGAAGTTCCAAAACGTTTGTGATCAGAAAGCACCACGTACCAAATCCAATTCCCAAGAAACAAAGAGTCACATATACCTTTATTGATGATAGTTTAATACATGATAGGTGAGACTACGAGGTGAATAAGCTGCATTATCAGGACCAGAGTGATCACTTTCCACTTGTAATGTTTTTTGGGCCCTGTAGCTATTCCACATCTTCTGCTTCAAATCATGTCTGATGAGTCTGAATCTCACTGTGTTAATGTTCATGTAACTCGTTCTAGCTTTTTTTTTTTTGGATGTCGCTTCATGTTGGGCTTATGTGGCTGAGAGGTGAACAGAGGTGAATTTAATTTCTAAAATACTTTAATGATAAACCATTGGTTAATCGTCACCTCACCACCGGTGCATGTATGATCAATATATAGGCTGTATGCTAAGTAGGCCTATCTGTGATAGCCCAACATCAAAGACAGAACCCTCCGGCTTATCATCTGTGTGAAAATTGACAGTGGATGATTATTTGTTCTGATTGAGCAGCATATCCACTTCACATCGTTAGCTTGTTACTTCTTCATGTACAGAATGAATTAGCTCTTAGAAATGTATGTCACATTTCAGATAATGACAGCATCTAATCACATTAATGGCCCATTTTGTTGCGCTCAAGTATTATTTCTTTCTTACTCACTGTTTGTAAATGGCAGTTAAGTTGTTCCTGGAATCTAATTTCACAGAAACACTTCACAGCATTTCTTCTAACTGCTGTTTTTAGGTTAAATGGTGCTTGACTTGCTGTATGTATTCAACCACATACTGTGTACATCCTACTTTTTCTGCTTATACAGACAAAATCTCTAAAGGCTACAGCTGACGAGGACTCGGGTCGGCTCTGCTGCACCATTCTATCAGGTGTAATCAAATCAGCTGTGAGTTTGTGGTCGTGAGTGCGGGTGTGTGCTGCACATCAAAAGAGACAAGAAGAAAGGGAGACAGATAAAAGGGTGAGCGGGGAAAGAAAACCAGAGAAGGAGAGAGAAAAGAGAAACTACACAGATGGGAAAAGATGTTATCCATGTAATGAGACTTTTTCCACTAATCGTACTTTCTTCCCACTTGTATACCTGTATGTCTTTGCTAAGATGCTTCACAATGCGAGTCACAGTCAGTATGTGATTCTCCAGGAGTCTGCAGGACATTGCCTCCATCTGCAGGGAGCCTCTGGCGGACTGCAGCCCTGCTGCCACCTCTTCTTTGATCCTGAAAGCCTGTTCCAGCAGCACCGCCAGTGTCATCTCCTGACCGCTAAGGCCACCTGCCAATACATCAGACCTGAAACAGGAAGAAAACAGGAACAGAAAAAGCAAGCTCTGAGTCTGTGAAGCTAGGAAGCTCATTAATATTGATTTTGGTAATAGAGGGATTTGTGCTGTAAATAAGGTCAAGTTAATTTCTTTCACACTGGAGGCACAGGGTGATAGATTAAGGTGATCGAATACACTATTACAGGGTGACCCAGAAGAATAACACAGAGGCGATTCAATTGGCATTTATGCCCTGAGGTCACTTGAGGTCATCAGATCTTTTATTTCATCTTTGTTCCTGACCCGTTAAGCCTGTGTCACACTGCCTGATGCTGCTGTGAAATAAAGATTAATCTGATCAATGTGATTCACAACTATGTCGCTGACGGTTCATGGCCGTAATTTGATCCAATCAGGTGGCAGGACAAGAACTTATCTTTGTCTTAGAATAGAATATGTGACCCAAATGAACTATGAGTACGTGAAAAATATGAAACTACTGAAACACATTTTCAATAGGTAAGTGAATGCAAATATCAAATACAGGAAGTGTATATGTAGTTTTTGCCTGAAGTTAATAAATATAATGTGGTGCCTTAAAAGTATTGAAAATTTACATCTGCTGGTTAAACATGGTTATGGACGATGAAGATCAAAAGAGTTGAGAAGTCTCTCAGTGCTCAGGGATATTCTCTTCACTTGATATTTTATAAATCAATCAAAAAATCATTACTTCAATCAATCTTTATTTGTATAGTGTCATCTGTAAGATTAAGATTTACTTTATTGATCCCCGCAAAGGGAAATTCTGTTTTCTCTGAATCTCTGTTAATCATGGAACACACATAGGCTGAAATATACACAAACAGGATCCTATGGACAGAGTGAAGTCAAAGTGACATGTCAGGTGCACCTGAGCTGGTGGTGGAGAGGGGTTGCCTTGCTCTAGGGCACCACAGCATTGCTCAGTAAGTGATCTGGCATCTCTCCAGCTACCAGACCAACTTCCATATTTGGTTTTAGCTACTGCCACCCCTAACAAATGTTCTCTCAAGTCACTTTACAAAAGAGCAGGTAAAATACCTAACTCTTTGTTATATTATCTGACCCAACATTAATCCATCACAATAAATAAAAGCGCATATTTGAGAAGTTACCTGCTGTGATTCTTATAAGACTGTGACTTTGGCTTGTGGGACATTCTTTGTCTCTGAAAAGAAAAAGCACATCATAAGCTTTAGTGTAATGTACAATAGATTTTACTCCATTGTGTTTCCCCCCTGCCCCCAACATTGAAACAAAATATATTCCCTTTTCTATATACATTATCCAACACAGTAATTCAGTTTTGTTTTACATTTCAGAGTACTCACAAGTCTGATCTTTTCTCCAGCTAGAAATCTTGATGTGTTTGTGTTGACACTTGGTAACTGTGGTTTCAGTGAGCTGGGTGTGCCTGACTGCCACTGTGCATTTTTTTCAACACAGTAATGTGGGATTAATGTGTTGTATACTCTGCTTAACTTCATCAGCTTAACTCAGCAAACCAGATATAGAGTGCGAAAAGCACTTTCAGTTAAACTCTAAATGTATCTGACTTGCCTGCCCACAAAATAAGAAGTTCTCACGGCAGCAGTTTCTAAAGTAAAAAGAGAAATCGTGAAGCTGCCTTAAAGGTAGTCCCTGTACGACCTCGATGGTTGATTTCTTCATACAGAAATCTTAAAACTGTTTAATTATGTAATGTTGTTGTTGTTTTTTACTTTTTCCCTTCATTATAAGCTGAAAAATTACTTTTTTGTTTCAACATTTGGGCTGCATTTGGGGTCTTGTACTTGGCACCCACTTTCATTGGCTTTAGTTGAGATTAGATGTTTATTGCCATTTGCACAGGTACAGAACAGTACAGGTACATTGGAATTTTTTATTTAATTTAAGTATTAAATAAATTAATTAAGGGACTTTTGCTTTTGTTTGTGGACTAGAACAATGAAGCTCTTCTTGGGCGGTCCTTAAAGCAGCTTAATGCGCCAGACCACAGACTACAAACATTACCTATTACTTTAATTGCACATTATCATATAAGGTATTAAAAATCAATATAACAATCTAAAATGTTTGCTCACACAGCGGGTGAGTTGGTCCTGCTCTGCTGTAGCCACACTTATACATCAAATCTCTGACTCATTAATCACGTTTCAAACATGGAGTGTTCAGAGTAAATGAAGGTCCCTTAAAAGCTTGTATTTGAGTCGTTCATTAAGCTTTCAGGTGTAGCAGGTCATTGGTCAGTCAGGGGAACATTTCTGACTGAATCATGCTGATGCTGGAAAACAGCAAATGTATGATTCCATGAATTGGGTAAGGGTATTAAGGGAACGTAAGCTACAACGAAATCATAAAAGGCTCTGTAAGCCATCTCTCTGCTTTTCATTGCACACAGTTACACTAGCTACTCATTCAACATTCAGCTTTGCTCTGACTTAATGAACCATGAGGTATGATTCAGCACCTGGAGTGAAAATGACCTCATCATATTTCATTTAAGTGAGACCTATCCGACACTATCACACCGCATGAGTCAAGACGTTCTGCCACTGAAGACCCTGAAATTGCATTCAGCTGAAAAACCGAAATTTGACTCTTTTGATGTATTTTTTTTGGCAGATTTGTGTGTGCTGTCCCACACAAACATTGTGGATTAATCTCTTATCAGCAGGAGTAGGATCATTAAGAGGAAAGGCCGGCTCACTGCAGGCTCATCGGTTATCCACCCTGGCCAAAAAGAAAAGCTGATGGTCGCTGAAAGGAAGCGTCTGGCTCACACGCTCACATCTCCATCTACTTAAATGAGAGAGGGGTTGAGGGCAGTGTGCTGTGTTGCGGCCAGTGCCCTCCTGCTTGTAATTCAAGTGTTTTATTTTGTAGGATGGCAGAGAAATCATGCACCTAACTTAAGATACAGAGACCTGGAAATTACTTTTGATTCAGTGTTTTGGTATTATCAATGTTAGACGCATCTACTGTATATATGAATAAAATAATGTTACAAAAGGCAACATAGAAGTAAAGCATACACTAAAGGATCATTTTCTGATTATTAGATGGTCAAAGCTGAAACCTTGCAACCGAAGGCTGCGTCAGAGCCACTTATAACTTTGATCATCACTCCTACAGGTAAAACCAAGGTCATATGGTGTTTCATAAGAATGCAAGCAGCATACACACCTCTGACTCCCACTTTCTTGTAAGAAAAAGTGAATTCATGCATTACATTACAACCACCTCTATCTCTAAGAAATTGCTGTAAATTTACAAGGAAATTTCAACAGTATGATCCTGTTATGTTTGAATACAGGACATAACTGTATTATAACGGTTTATAACAATATTTTACTGTATTATTGCTTGAAGGAAACAAAACAGTAATTTACCGTAGTTTTTGCAATGCATTTTGGGAAAAAGAAGTTGAGACCACATGGTAGAAAGGACAGTGGAGTTGGCTTTGTCAGATTGTCATCCATCTCCATCCTGACAATTAAGAGGTGAGTGCCTTACTGCTTTGCTAGTTAGAATAGGCAAAAACCATCACTTACTAAAATTGAAGTCATTTGTAAGATTAAGGTTAGCTAGATTTGGAAATTACACAGAAACACTGCAGGCAGACACACGCGCAGTGAGTGAATTCTTTGCCAGCTAACATTAGCTTGAAATACAGATCTTAACAGTTGCTAATTGGGACAAAAAACATTTTCTTGTAATGTGGTTAACTAAGTGGGCTATAATGAACTTGACTTGCTTGCCTGGTTGTACTAGAATGGTAAGGTTAGCTAACATCAACAGTCACTTTATCTTTGTTTCAGCTTCAACTGACACTGACTATTGATTAAATATTGAATTAGAAATGATGATTAGCTGGGCCTGCTAGGCAATATGGCCATAGTATAAATAGTATAATATACAGTATTTGAAAATGTATAAAAGGAAACTTTAGTGAGACTGTCAGAATGGACCTGAAGCATGTTTTTTGTTTTTTACTGTTTTAACACATAAAGCTGCTGCCATACATCCTGAATTCATGTACTTAAAGTAATTCCAGGACTTATTTTTATTCATACTAGTTTTACTTCATACTTTTACTTTACTTCTTTGTGTATGGAGAATATTCAGAAAGGATTGTCCCTATGATAATGTTCACTTTTCAGCTGGAGCTGCTTTTGTTCTAACGTTGCTTTTTCCCTTTACAGAATCCTTGTGGCAGTTTCAGTCTGGAAGGAGAAATCAGAGGGAGGTTCAGGTCCAGGGACCCAGTTTTCCTCAGAGGACAGGTTGTTTATTCAGTTATGAAACTATAACAGAAATGGTTTCACTTCTCTGTTTAAAATGTATCTACCAAAACTCTTTTATGCACTTTTTATACATTGGAAATGGCCTTTGCTAAATGTCTTAATGTAAATATTTGTGCTAGATTTTTTGCCTAACATGGTTTCCGTAGGTGAACCTGCGGAAGGATCATTACCGGTTGAGATCCCCGCACCCGAGGCCGCGTGGCCCCTCGGTGCTGGCGGCGGATCGTCACTCAGAAAAACTCTCCCTCTCACTTATTTACACATTTTATAAACATTTCAAAGTGTAACAGATTAATTGATTGTACAGATAATTACTCACTGCAGCCCTTAGTTCAAATAAAGGCAGACATGTTTTTTTACAAAGCACCTGAAGAGTCCATTTCTGTAGATCGTGTTCTTGTTAAAAAAAGAAAAACTCCATGAAAACTTGCAGGTTGGTGAGTGCTGAACCTAAAATCAAACCGATCTTCAGTTAATCAAATTAAAAACATCCGGAATCCAAACTAACTACATAAAAACATTAAGATAAGAAACTGTAATTTAACACCCACAGAACCTCCTGCACATGTAAAAACTAATTTGCCTTCATGTTCTTAAAGTGTATTTTCTTTGTTTTTGTTTCAGTTTCAATAAAGACAGGTGTGGTTTGAGAAGACGCTTTGAAGTTTTATTATTTGTCTTAACATTTTAAGTTGCAATTTTAAAGGCACTGTTTATTTATTATTTTAAAACATGGTGTTTTATAACCTGACATGCAAGGAATCATTTATCAATCACAAGGTTTAGAAAATAAATATATTGTGTCCATTTTGGTAGAAGGAAAATGATTCTATAGCTAGGTGTAGTATTTACAATTCACAGTAAAAATCTGCAAATAAACAGTATTAAACAGTTAATTCTTTCAACAGTATTTTCCTGTTAAGGTTTAAAATCACAACTTTTTGATGTATTTACAAAAACGCTAGAAAACTACATTTCAGCAACAGCAATATACCGTTAATTTTACAGTAACTTCCTGGCAACCCTACTGCCAGTTGTTTACTGTTTTTTAACAGGGGGAATTTCTAAGAGTGTACTGTAATTTACTCGTCATCTCTGTTTTCAGGTCAAAGATCATTCAGTGAGCTGTCTGTAGAGTTAGATTACGAAAAGCATTCAATCTTGTAATTATTGTCCGTGTGTTGTGTTTTTGAGAAAGCAGTCACAGTGTGCAGGGATATGGAGCAGGCCAGCACTGGAGCAAGGGCTAGAGGATAAGACATAATGAGTTATAATACACACACAGAACACAAACACTAACACAACACATCAGCAGTACAGCATCCTCAAATAGAGAGGAGGCTGTTGAGCGCTGCCTCCTCGCTGCTGCATGTGGGTGATAGCAGTCACTGACGCCTGACCTAATTGACGGGTCGAAGATATCAAGACTACAGTGGTTTAGGTGAAAAAATAAATCCACGACACAAGTTCTTGAATGGATGTAGTCAGTTCTGGATTCACCAAGGTAACTGCTGTGAGAAAGCTAATACAGAGGCTTTAAATAACCACACACCAGCACATATCAAACTACACACAGATAAACTCAGATGCTTGTGACAGGGAATGCACAACTGAATCATAAACATCTCCACGAGGCATTGTGGGGTTGCATTATGCAATCACCAGCATAGAGATTATCCAGTCAAGTGAGATGGTTGGCCAGAGGGAGGCGCGGTGCAGCCTGGGTTCTGCATTTGAATATATAACAATTAATGAGGAAGTTTGACTGAACCCTTGTAGAGCTCATTGGACAGCACAGGGACGCAAAGACGGCTTGCAACTAAACGGAGCATCTATTGACAATTATCTTGCAGAAGTCACTGCATATGTCAACTTCGCCGCTGGAAGGAGAGCGCCTATCTTCAAAACAAGAGGATATTGCATGCCGGCAGTGTGCAGCCCAGTGTCATAAACACAATGCACTGCTTTCAACGAGGCATTCAACAAGGTTCGTTGTGAGACTTGCTCCCCTTTCATCATCACTCTGTGCGTCTCCTTCTTGGCGCTCTTTAAACTGATCATCAGTGGAAGTGCTCCCGAGCTGCAGGAGCCCAACTGTCACATCCCTCCACCACTCAGAGTGTGCTCAGGCTGGCTGGCTGCTGCACAGGCACCATGGAGCAGAAAGCACCCAAGGATGACAGCCCCGCAAAGGGACAAGAGTCTCTGTCATATCAGCGGAGGATGTGGAAGAATTTCCAGGTGAAAACCAAGCCCTGGCTCAGTCCTAAACTGGGATCGGAGCGTCGCGGTACCGGGGGCGCTGAGGGCTGCAAAAAGGAGTCTGGATTATGGATGTTTAAGAGGAAAAAGAAACAGTTGGACCGGGTTTTTTCGTCGTCTCAGCCGAATCTGGTATGTTCCACGCCAGCGCCTTTTGAAGGAGATAGCCAGACTCTTGGTAGCGATGCGGTCCCGGGCACCAGCAGCGACGGGCAGCCTCTGCTACATCATCTTGGCGCAGCTTCTGGAGCCACGGGGAGCAAACCCGAGCTAACGGCGCACGGGAGCCCTAAACTCCCCGTCTCTCAGCTGATCATGTACCAGCAGAAGAGCTCCTCTCTCGGGTCGGCGTGCTTCGAGAAGCTGGTGGTTGACCCGGCTGCGGTGCTGGGAGAGGATGAGCAGCTGCGTAAAAACGCAAGTGATTCTGTGAGTATGGGCTCAGATCATGTGGTAAAAGAACGCACGTAGTTGATTATGTGTTATACTACCAAGTTGAACTAAAGAGTCTTGTATTCAATAAGGAGGTGGGTTGGGCTACACTGCAATGGAAATTGAAAAGGAGATAAGTTTCATGATGATGCTGCTGCTGAGATGTGCTCTCTCCTATCATGTGATGCGCTCATCGATTTGCCAGTTCGCTGCTTTCTTTACTCTGTCCTGGAGCCTGGGTGACTACAAACACGGCCAATGTTATATGTCTATATTACAAGATTACATAACAATTTTCTGGGGTTTTATTCAGATTACTATTACCCAATGCTATATATCCTGGCTGTGCATAGTAATTGACTCCCCGAAGGGCTATTTCGACACAGTCTACTCATTTACAGTCTCCTTTTGCCAGCATGCATCGTTTTCTTCCATTGATAGGGACTGTCCCCTAGCTTCACGATCCATCTGTCACAGTGTCCTTGCCTCCGCTGCAACAGTCCCATGCATGCTCAAGGGTCCAACATGCCTTTCCTTTTCATGAAAAGGGGCCAGCTGGCAAATGGTTATCAGGCACCAGCAGTGTGGAGATTCATGGCGAGTAAATTCCCACACAACTCAGCATGCTGAGTCAGGGTTCCCCTAGGAGAGACAGTAGCTAAAGGATCAGTCAGCTAGAGTAGTTGTGAGGGTTGCATTCACAACAAAAATGACACACAGGTCTAAATGTTTGAGCATAAGAATGACTTTTCAGTAAAGTCATGTGAAAAATATGGTAAGAGTTTTGATTTATGTCTGGAAGCTTTGTCACCTGATTACCACATACCTGAGTAGGTCATGCCATTTCAGAAAAAAAATTACCTTATACCTTATACCTATATTTAATAGCACTGTTAATAAATATAATATGGAAGACACTGAATGTGTTAAAGCCAACAAGTGCATTCCATTTCGGTGAAAGCAGTTATTGCAAAGCTTTTTATCGAAGCCCACTCAAAGCATTCCAGACTTGTTTCTGAGCACCATCCAGATTGCTGTCGAAAAGTGATTTAGCATTCAAGCACACTTACCCATTAAATCTCCGAGACAAGTGGAGCAGGCTCTGCTGAAGAGGTAAAAGAAAGCAAATATTAATGACTTCATTGAAATTGATCTTGAAGTTAAATCAAAGCACTTCACCACATCAGTTACATCATACACAGAGAGATTGCACTTTGCTAAATAGAGTTTTAGCATTCAGCTTGAGCCACTCTTTACCCCCTGTTGTTACTATTCTTATCCAAACTTCTGTTGTTCTTTAGTCAGATTCTCCTTACAGTATGCAAAAGGTGGGCAGCAGTAGTAAACAAATTAACTACATCACCATCTTCTCAGTGGAGTGATTAGTTGTGCATTTACAGCCACAGATGTATGACATACAGTCTGTTCTTCGTATATTATGTAATAAGGTTAGAGGAAGACAGAGCAGTAGTGACAGGAGATGATGGGGTGAGAGGGAGTAAAGGTGCTGAGGACATACAGGGTAAGGCCAAGTGAAATGTGATGAGGGAATGTGTGATAGGAGAAGATTTAGAATAAAGGAGAGGTGAAGACAGGAGATGAGCACAGATGAAATGAGATTGGAGATGCTTTATACTGCATTATATTTATCAGCAAAATAAACACTCAACATCCAAAAACAGGCAAATACATTTATATCCAGTTGCAGTTTTTCATGTGTCTATTTGTGCATCCAAAAGAAGACTAAAGGTGCACAATGCACTTTTATCCTACCTAAACACTTTACCTACCAAACAAGGATTATAGCACGGAGTCACACTTTTCATCCTGAAATCCAGCATCATGTGAGTGTACAACTTGTCATTACTGAAATGAGAGCCTATATGGTTCCAAGCTACAAATTGGCAAATTAAAGAAGAAAATATGAAACATAATAAACCAAACGTCTCTGCACATTTTGATTTGGAAAGTAAATGATGGAAGAGATGAATGCCAAGTGCTGGAAGTCATTTCATTATAAACCTAATAGAGCGTAACAAAAAGCACATTTCATTTTTGCTGCTTGCCATTTAGGCCATGCATTTTAAAGCAATAGTCTAAATTCACTTTCACTTTGAGAGCAATAGCATGAAAATGGTCATCGTCATGTTGTCTCTTATATAAGTTTAACATTTTCTTGAAATGATCCCTATTCTGTACAGAAGAGCATTTTAGTGGATCAGATATAATTTGAGCTAAACCCTCTCCTCTTAAACTGGTGTGCATTTCTCAGCAATTGTAAGCTTCTCAAACTCTGAGAAGCCCAGTGTCGAGTACAACATTGTTTAAAAATAAAATTGAGTGGGGGTAGGTTTATGTGTGATACTAAAGATAACCTACTAAACTCTGAGCTGTTCTTGCAATGAAGAAATGAATTCAAACGAGTTAATAAATATGCAGTAATTTCTTTTAGAACCTGTTAACTGATTAGGGAGGTAATGCAAACACTGTTGATATTTCTAAAGAAAAGGGCTTTGCCACAGCTCCAACACCTCGTGTATCTTGGGTTTCAGAGTCAACTGGAGCTCCAATAACCCTACCATGTTTCTTCTTCTCATTGGGATTCCTTCTGCTTGGTTTTCTGATTAAGCCAGAGCAATTTATAGATGATCTGCTGTATTAACTAAATATATAGCCAGTTTCAGTATAACCAAATCAATCGATGTAGCCTACTATTGGCTGTCCAATTGAGTACTTTGCATCTTAACCTGTTTTTGGGGTAAAACATTGGAATATTAAAACTTTAGTTCCCACATTTAAGATTGCCTCATCCAGACAAATTCATTCATTTCCCTACAATAATTGAATCACCCTCGTCATTCATTACTTTAAATAAATATGTCTAAGGTGTTTTAAATGCTTCCATTAAAAATAAAAATATCTGTAGGCCTTTTATACAATTGTACAGGGGAGTTTATTTTTTTAACCAAATTTCAGTCACTTTATTAAAAATAGTATCTAAATCTACAAATTGTCACGTTCCTTTGTCCAGAGTAAAAAATCCATAATTCATTAATATTCAATGTCTTTATGTAAAAATTTAATTACACACTGGCAATCAAAACACACATCCAATTCAGTGTTGTTTTACAAATCAAAATCTTCATTTATAAGTCCTCTGAGGATATTGTGCCATTCAAACAGTAATTTATTTTCATTTCATTAATTAACCTCAAACGATAAATCGCAGGGGCTTGGTGAAATTAACCGGAAACGGATACACACCTGGCTTTAAAAGCTTAACTAGCGAAGTCGGTTGACATAAGAAAATTATTTCCCGTGGGAATTCGTCAGCCCAACCAGTATGGAGGCTAATGTTGGGACACTGCCGCAACTTAAGAAAGTAGAAATAAATGTGATAAAGAGGTGGAGGTCAGCAGCTAACTTTGGCACACCAAGCCGCTTTCTCCCTTGGCCACCAAACTTTTGACACTGTGCTCACCATGTTCTTGGAGAGGGGCATTAGAAGTCCAGTAATGGTATGATTAAAAAAAGTTAAACTCAGGAATGACGTAAGGTTGAGTAAAACCTTCAAATCCTCTATCATGTTGTTGAGCTGTACAACCAATTGTGTATTGCAGACAGTGGATCCATTCAGCCTGTTTTCCTGCATTGAGTCACTGGAACTGTCGCTGTCCATGGTATTGAATCCTGACCAGACTCTAGTAGCCCACCTCATAGATATCATGGTAACAACCTGAGCTTTGACCATCCTAATTTGTAATCTCCAGTCAGTTTAGTTGTATCTTTGTGTCCATGTTCGAACATAAAAAAAAGCAATCTACTTAGTTTCTTAAGTATTTGTTCCAGTCCTCAGAATAGGCTACAATATGTTGCATTATCTTTGCATCCATTTAAATGAAGGAAGTGATTCATGAAAACGAAACAGGCTATCTAAGAAAGCATCTGTCTTTTGATATTTGATGCTGTTTTCCCGAGACTCACGAGTACTCTGCCTTCATTTCTCAGTCACGCTTCCCTCCTCCTTCCTGCGTTGTTCCTTCTGCTCAGCTCATATGAAGTACTTTAAAATATTTAACACTTATGAAACAGGGAAGTAGGTTTTTGTGTCACAGAGACTATACTATCACTCACACTCACAGCCTCATGCTAAATATATCCGATGTAAAACATGGGGCGTGTTTTCCCATTCAACCATCCAGTCTCTAGGACATGGTGTATAGTGATGTTTGTAGGTGATGTACATGCTGCTTCCCCCAGAGTAGGTTTATAACCTACAGTACATATCAAAATATGGCAGTTTACAAGTTTTTATCTTTAGTGTTTTATTCAAAAAAAAGATTGCACATACAGGTTAAGAATTGTGTTATGTAATATTTAAAACAAAAACACTCCAGTCCAGCTATGATGGCTGCATTGGTTTTTTGTGATTTGTTTGCAGACTTAACCAAAATAAAATCAGTAGTTTCTGGCTGGAAAAGCCAATCATTACATCCTCAAGCTTACGTTCCTAAATGGATTTCAGATCCATGAAATGCGGTGTACAATCCTCAGTACAGTACATGTTGCGGTACAGATAATGTTTCTTTGAGATTATTGAAGTTTTTGTCCTCTTTTGATATGACAGTGCCTGTGAAATGAGCCGTATTTAGATGTCCTGTAGGAATGAGTGTGTTTCTTGTAGCTGATGTCTGGGTTGTTTTGTGAGAACAGCATCTCTGTCACTTGGAAACAGCCCCTGGCCTGGTTCTGGAAATGTCCTGATAGCAGCTTGAATTAGGATTCATAACAACTCCAGGGGCCAACGGCTGTGACACACACAGACGAGCACATGATTGATGTTGACCTCAAAGCTGTCATCATGAAGGCCAGAAAAAAAAAAAATCTCAACCATGCGAAAGTATAACTGACACCTTTTGGGGTTGTTGATGGATTTTTAGCTCTGACTTTGTGATTGAGTGTCTTGTAGTGGCTCCTGTCAGCCTCCTACATGACCC